TGGCTGCCAAGGAAGTGGTGTCATGGCTTTTTAAAACACTGTAGGCCAATCAGGATGGCCAAGGTGGCCAATTGGATGTGTTCTAAGCAAAACAGGAACAAGAAAAAAAAACAGATGAGACAAGACAAACATAGGATTGTAACAGTACAGTATAACCATGCCTTATCCGATGGCCATAAAGTTATTAATTTTGTATAAATTGTCAATTTTTTTATGTAAGAATGCAGCAGATCCAAAGATGGTTATGTATATATAAAGTACTGTTATAAAGTAAACAAATCACTTAAATGTGTTATATGACCTCAATACAACCGAGTAGCAGCTTGGACCCAGAAACAGTATTCCATACGCCAAGACTTAACAAGTGGATAGCAAAACATTTGCATAGCAGATACAAGTAATGCCATGATGCGTATGAATGCAAATTTAATCATAAAAATGTGCATACTAAATGTGCACATACAGTAGTATTGCTATAGAATTACAGTTGTAGTATTCACTACAGAATTCTATTTATACAATGTTAAGTCACACATGTGAAATAATATGAATAAATATAATACAAAAATAGCCAAATAATATAATATGGACATTTAATAAATATAAGAATTACAATATATATGAAACCATGCCAAATCATAGCAATGCGTCATTAGACATAACTCATTTTCTTATCCAGCAACATAGTAATGTGAAAAGCATTTTTTTGGAAAATAACCCAATGTCTGTAGGACAGCAAATGAGGGGGTCTTGAAGTATTCAGCTCTCACATTTCAGTAACCCTTCCCCCTCATCTAGACCCCCATATGTGGGTCTCTGGGGGAGCGATTAACACGGGATAAAACAACACATCTGGTTCTGTTCACCAGAGCACTGACCCACATCTGATGCTCAAATGTTGCCTTTCTGAAGTTCATTTCCAGGGTCACAAAGGACAGTTTCTCTTTGGCAGAAAACAAGCTTTTATGTGTGTGTCTTGGACAATATGAGGAAACTTTGACTGTTGGCCACCAGTTTCATAAATGACCTAGAGCGTATATTTACCCCTGAGTCCATAGAATTTTAATGAATAAGCTGAGTTTTACCCGCTTGACCAAAGGTATCTGACTGAGAACAACTTTTAAAAAATCTAGCTTAAAGGGGACCTATTATGCAGAAATCACTCTTATAAGGGGTTTAAACACAGTTGTGGCAACAGTATGTGAATATATTCAGCCTTTAATTTTAAAAAGTTAAACAATTCTATGTTTTATAATCAAACTTGATAGAAACAGTCTGCAGAAACTTTGATTGACATCAGAGGGGGAAAGTCCTGTCCATTAATGACAATCTCTCTCCCATTAGCATAAACAGCACTGAATGAGAAGCAGCCATCCACCATTAGAATTTTCACCTGCTAAATATAATGTCAGTGACTAAGAGGCATTTTTAATGTGAAGTCACTATAGCGATGCACATGCATTTATAGCTCCACCCCCTTTTAAAAAGATGGCTGGGTGCAAAATCTCATTTGAATTTAAAGCGACAGTCACCAAATTGGCACAATTTGGATCTAATCAAAAAAGAAGCAGCTTTAAAGAGTTATAAAAACTATTTGTGAGGTATTTTGAGCTAAAACTTCAGGGTGCATAATAGGTTCCTTTTAAAATGGTACATCCACTAAGGTAAAGGCACTGCTGTATAAACACAACTCTCTCAGTTACTCATTACTGAGCCCATCGGGTGACCAATAAAAAAAAATTTAAACAAAAAAAACTCAGAGCAGCTCCACCCAAGCCAAATATGTGGTTAAGGGGGCCTTCCATCACTGGAGGGTTGTGTGATTACTACATTCTGAAGCTCTGCCAAAATCTTGCATAATGCATAACAACACTAATCAGTAAGAGGTTATTTTAATATCTCTGCTGCAGAGTGTTCATTTGAACTTAACAAAGAAAGCAACTGTTTCATGGCAAAAGTATGACAGGGCAAAAGAGCAGGACAATAATGACCACAGGTGCTTATATTTAGAATAGTAGTGGATTAAAATATGCTTCTTCTTGCTGTGCCCCAAACATATTCAAAATAATGTGACGTGACTAGATGAAAACCTCCAAGCCACAACAAGCAACAGATCATTTTGTAGATTTGCTTGGCTTTCTGTTTGAGTAGTCCCACCTTATGTGAATATCATTTGTGCAAATCTTTACAACAGTACATAAAACATCAAACATCTTTTTATTGTGCTGCTTTTCCATGCAAAACTGCTCGAAGAGCTGACTTGGTTCAGACACAATCGCTATGTTTCCATCCAAAAATGCGAATTAAATTTATGCACAACTGAGATACTGCATAAAAACGTGCAAATAAAGCAGCTCTTCCATCCAAGTAGTCAAAGAAAACAAAATCCCCACTTTCTGATTAACTGACACCAAATATCAACAGCAAAAATGGAATTTGCTGCAGTCGGAGAAGCTGCGTGAATCTTTTCTTCATTTAATAAATTACTTGCGCCTCAGAAGACAATGTCGACATGTGATGAACGCATGAAGACATGAGACACGAAGCACAGACAGTCTTCATTCTAGAGGTAATGAACAATATAATAACACTGATACTGAAACAGTGTTTTAGAATGACCAAAACATTTCAGATGCTTTACAATGTGGTCAGCCTGCTGGTTTGTCCATTGAGACACATTTTTATCATCACACGATCTCTTTTAACAAAATCACATGACTTTAATGCGCATACTGGAATTTGCTTGGGAAAAGTGTTTCCATTCTAGTTATGTACATATTATCGGATAAAAAGTTCACCCAACTCAGTTATGCACATATGGTTTTTATGAGCATTTTTAAAATTTATGCGCATCTTGGCATTTCCATCGATCGATTTTTTATGCGTATATCCAAAATGCGCATAAAAATCAATAGATGGAATCATAGCTAATGGTAAATGTTAACTACCAGTACTGAACAGCATTAAATGACTGATGAATACTTTCGAATCATAATCAGATGAGAGTAAAAAAAATACAACAATAAAATCCATACAATTTTCTCAAAAACTGACACAAGCAGTCTTTTTTCTCTTAGTTGGGATGGAAAGCAGCGAGGTCTGAGGAGGAATGTTTCTGTGACGCTCTGCCAAGACAAAAAGGGGTCAGATGTGGCAAACGCTTACTCAGATGGTGGGACGCTGCCCAGAATTGACCCAACCAATCAAAAGATTTCAACTCCCAAAACCAACAACATAAAAGCCTCAATCCAGCAGTGATTGTGAGTGAGAACTGTTTTTTGCAAGACCATAAACTATGAGTCAGTGCTTTAATTTCTCAAATATAGTGTTGAGAAAGACCTTGTACTTTCATGTCTCCCGGTTTGCTTCCCAAAAATTACTATCTTTATAAGTCTCTTACAGACCACCTTCAACTCACTGAAAAAGCAGGTTCACTCTTATATTAGCCCAATCCTATACCCATATGAAAGAGGGTCACGAAACACCAAAACACTTTTTTTGAGATTTTGACAGTCATATGACTGCTAAAAACACTATTAGGACACTTATGTTTCACAAAAAAGTGAAAAAAAAATTGCGTGTTCACGAAACATGCAATCAGCATTAAAAAAAAATCTGTTATTCAAATTTGGCCATTTCAGATAAGCAGACAACTATTTTTATTTAAGAAAAAGGTGATACTGTCACATTATTAAATAAAAAAATGCTATTCAAACAAAATCCCTTCATTAAAATAATCTGTTTACAAGATGCTACAAGTGAATTTAGTATTGCAACAATAATATAATGTACAGTAGGGCTGCACTATATATCATTTCCTTCTCAATAGTCACATCGCAAGATATGCAATGATGAGCTTGTTTTATAGCTTATAATTTTAAAGTTAATTAAAGTTTTTTATGCCTGTGATTGTATAATGACCTTAAAAGCATTCATGCATAATACATTTTACCATGTGTGACTTTAGCAACGATTAAATTCATTGAATTATTTTTATCATTAAGTAACTGTACTTGAATACTGTTAGACTAGGAAAATGATTAAACACTTGTTCATTTTCTTGACTGTATTTATATAGTTATGCATGAAAATATTCACAACTCACGCAAATATAGAAATGCACTGCAAATAGCATAGACCACATAGAAAATGTGTCGTGTGAGCCTAAAAAAATTATATAGATTGTTTATTAGACTTTATGGAGATGCACGCCCACTGCAGAATCATCCCAATTGATCTAAAATTAGAAGTTCTTTCCAAAAAGAGATATTTATGTTATCTGGTGAAATTAAATTCATATTATATATATATATATATATATATATATATATATATATATATATATATATATAACTAAATAACTAATATAACTAAATAAATATTTATCACAAAATAAAAATATATCACAATGCTAGATTTTTCCAATATCGTGCAGCCCTAATTGTCCAGCATGAAAAAAAATTAATATCATATTTGCAACATATGACGATTTAAACATTTTATTAAATTAACGTTTATTAAAAAAAAAAAAGTTAAGATTTAACCTTGGATAAGAGTAAACAATCGACATGAAATGAAAGAAAAGTGCAAGTTTTTAATGTTAACTAATGGATAGGTCTGAAGAGCTGATCATTTCTACAACTGACAATCCGTTTATGACTAAATGATGCTATGTGTTCAGGTCGTTCAGGTAAATCCCCAAGAGGTTGTTTCTGGTTGCATTCTCATAGCAACTATGATCAAAAGCTTAGACAGGCTTGAAATAACAGAAACTCTTCTATGCCCGTGAAAAATAAGGCAACCAACTACCCGCAATGATGATCACATCTGCAGACAGGTTTAATCCTCATTAGACCACAACCACCACCTTATGTCTGCGGAGACCAGCTGCTGTCTGGCATCTCACACAACCACATATACATGCTCTTTACAAAAAAGAACTTGCTTATGATCAGGAAGTACTTTGCCATCGCAACAGGATGTAGAAGAAGAGATCTTACCTGGTAGTAATTTTTAATGTGTCGGATGACAGTATTGAGGTTCTGTATTCTCAGGTTAACATCATTGTTGACTTGTTTGTTCACTCGCTGATTCATGGGGCTTGGGTCTCTGTGGAACAAAAACAACATGAGTGCATTTGAAAATCTTAGCATAGGCACACTTTTAATAGTTCTCAATAGGCTCAACTAATCTTTCAACAACCTAGGCAATAAGTGAGGCCAACTAAACTATTTGTGATTTATTTGTGCAACCATCTATTCAACCTAATAATACAGCTTCCTCAACTGATTGACTAATTCCTGAGATCGCACAATATGACGCTGCACCTCAAATAGGGATGTAACTGATCATCAGTGATCTGTACAGCCCAGTGACCGCACTCCTAGGTTTTATGGATTAATGCATCTTTGAGCATGGATGGACAAATACATTAAATTATGCAAATTCCCATCTTGGTGTGAATCTTCATAAACATTATTTTATGTCTTAAGTAAACATAAAGGGTCAGTGGTTTTAAAGGAATAAACCATTAATCTATATCATGTATTCAGTTAAGTAGGGTTATTTTACATTTGATAAATTTTTGTAGACCTTTTTGTAAAGATAAAAAAATAGTTATAATCAATTATTTTAATTTATAATTATTTATTTAGGTTTGTAACTATTAATTATATGATTATTAACTATTAATTATATCATTATTTAGTCATAATTTTAAGTATCTTAGTATTTACTGTAGTCCAATCTGTGACTCAAATATATAAATTGATCTGAACTATAAAGGCTTGCGCCCACCAGGATGATTATCCTGCAGAATTATTGCCAAACTGTTAACACTTCCTGACTAAACAAAGGGCACTAATGTGAGAGTGCACACTGACGGCCGGCATAAAAGCATAATGATCATAAATGGTCATAAAAAAAAAATCTTTATTTTGGTTTGACGCGTTGTGTTATAAACTGGCTAGCTAAGCCTCAGGTGTTATGCCAATCACCTGATGCACATGGAAACACTTCTCTGATTGGTTTAAGTGTAGAGTATTTCAGGAGTCTAGTGTGCAGCAGTCTTAATCAGCCCTCCTGAAAACAAGTTTGAGCGAATAAAAAAAGCTGCAATGTTTATATTGATGACAGTGCTCATTGACAGACTATCTGAGACATTGGTGAATCAGTGATTTACTGCCTGCACACACCCGTCTGTTATAATGAGGATAACTTTGTAAAGATGAGCATTTATCAATTTGACTTAAAAGCTGTATTATTAAAAGTATGCAGTACTCACTGCATAAATGCTTCAATGCGTGGTTTGACAAATGCACATGGATACATGCTTATATTCTCAGTTATTCACAGCATCAATTGAATATTAATATGATTTAAATGAATAATAGATTGATCGGATATTAAGTAAGTGAGAGTGGTTGAGCACAAGTCCATCAAATGAAAAGCAAATGAGAAGAATCTTGAAGGGGGCGGGACATGTCGGATACTAGAAAGCCTCTGACTGGTCAAAAATCAATGTGAAACTGAAGTATGAGGTGATGTAAAAAAATTTAAAAATCAGTCAATCATTTATGCAGAAGTGACAAACCGCAAGCTTTAGATGTTTATTTTAATTTTATATCCTAAAAATGTGAATCGTCACTGTTTTGAAGCACATTAGCTTATAGATATCCTTAAAACTAACATACCGATACTAACACCTGAAAAACTTTATTTAAAATTTACGAGACCTTTAAAATTATTCAACTTTCCAAATCTTATATCTCCATTTCCACATGGGCACTTCAAAACTTCAACCCTTCAATTCACTTTTAATCCACGTTTACACGCTTTGCTGCAGAAATGTTTTCTAAGTTTAATAACACAAACAAGTTTTTTTTTCAGTGTTTTGTGTGATTTTGAACCCTCAAACAAAGGCTGCACGAGTAATTGAAAAAGATCACTAACTCAGTTCTTAATTCAGTTTTTTTAGAATTCAGCCAATTATATACACAAAGTGAAAAGAGAAGCGTACTGGCGGTTACACAAGTCTTCTCATTGTTTTATATACCTAGCTCAGCAACATGGACACCTCCAAACTCCATTAAAAGTGTCACATACTGTATTTATAAGTTATAATTCACCCAAAATGTCAATTCTGTCTTAATGTAATGATGTAGTCGCGGCTGCAAAATCACACGTGAGCTGACACATTGTTTGTTTACTTCCGAGAGGATGCGCCTGTGCCTGCCAATGATATTTACTTTAGTGAACAGACCATGTATAGGTTGTAAATAACAGCTAATAAAGTTGTAAAGAACATTCAGTTTGTAGCACAGAGTAATCGTTTCTCAGGAGCCGCATGACAGTATGATTTGCATATATGTTTTTTTTTCTCCAAGTGACGACAGCCATGACATGAGCAGACTCAGCAGTGAAAGTAAAAGGAAGTATCGCATTTTAGAGTAATGATTACGACAAGCATTTGATTTTTTTCTTTATAGAAAACACAAAGTGTTGTACATGCAAATAAATGTTTACTGGGTCGGCATAACTACTCTAGCCTTTGTAATGTTGAATGTAATGCAGGAGGGAATTTGATAATGACAAATGTTTCATTTTATCAGAGAATAAAATGGTCTAATAATGTTGTCAATGACAAATGACAAGCACATGTACCAAACATAATAATTCAACTTCAGAATTATGAATAGTTTTATTCTGATGTCATCACTTTACCGTGCATTAACAACCAGGACAAATACAAAGTCTGTTCAAGTCCACCTTACCAAGTCTATGTAAAACTGAGCATTTTAACCAACAGTAGACCTACACATAGGCTTAATATTATTATTTGTTGTTATACCATATGTTTGAGATTAACAATAATAATAGCCTCCACATATTAACCTTTATTTCACCTTTGATTTTAAAGAAAACAAATTGTAATTTTTATTTAACTCAGAATCGTGCAGCCCTACCTCAGACATGTTGATGTTGATTTTAAAAATAAATTGTTTCAGAAATTCCTCTCTATACACATTTAATGCATTTTTCTTAATGTGCCATAGACACAATATTAATTAATTGAATAAATACAAAATAAAATAATTCAGAAAGTTAGTCTTTTTTATCACTGTATGCAAAGACTAAAGCCAGTCACTCAGATTCAGAAGAGGGTCCTCTTTTTGGTGCAGACATTTCTGTAGTCCTACATAGGCTGTTTGTGCGATCCTCATTTACATTTGTTTTGTGAGAATGACATGCAAATTCTGCCAGCTTGGCCTACAAATTCCCGCTCACTAGTGAAAGAACCTTAAAAGATCAGAGCCTGTTTTCTTTTCTCTCTCTCTCTCTACTGTCTGGCTCAACTGTTTTTTTATTGCCTGAAGCCAAGAGCACTGCAATGAGTTTCACTTTTTTTGTCATTTTACAACCACAGATATTGCAACTGACAGTTTGGATGAAAAAACAATTATTGTTTAGGAAGAGTTAAGAGAAGACTGATAGGGTGCACATAGAGGACATCTGCCAGATGGGCTGTGTTAGCATAGCTTGTTTGCTAATATTGTAGCAATGGTGTTTACCACATACCTGGAACACAAGAGGATTGGCAAGGAAATCAGTTAGCTTACAGGCACACGGATGTGGGCACATTTATAAATGGATGTGGGTGAAGTAAAAGGAAGCAATGTGTACATTGCCCTCAGCATTCCACATCTCCAGTCATTTGTGATGGTTCAGTGAAAACACACTGGACACATGAGTCTTCATTCTAACACTCATTTGGTTCCACAGCGTACATAGTTATATTCTAGCTTGCATGACTAGTGTATGATCATCTTAGTATAATGTCTTGTTTTACTAGACCCCAATCATATTTAGCTTTATATTGTTTCCATTCTTGTTTTCTTGCTAGAAACTTATACCGAATTGTGGATCACATCTAAAAAATAATTTTATGCTAGTAGCTTGGCTATTCTTCGTCTGTCCTGTATAAATACATATGACATGAAATAAGCCAGAAGTTAACTAATGATTCACTGAATTATTTGTTTAGCCGATTTATAGAGAAAGGACTTGCGTTCTTGTGAAGACCGGTCTTGCCAGGTCACCTCAGGAAAAACTCTGGGGATTGTGAGAACACAGAACATGTCCTGTGAGAATTGAGATGCTGCATTCTTCCTGATGGTCACGTGACCTTCATGCGTTTTTAATGGAGAATTATTTAAACAATTTAGAATTTATACGATATATTGTTTTTTTTCCCCTTTTGGATATGTGAAGTATATTCATAAACTAATTTCGAGAGGATCTCATGCTTATGATTGCTGGCGGCTGGATTTGCATCATCCAATTCTCAATGCACCAATCAGACAACTCCTAAGCCACTACAAATACCCTGGGTTACGTACTGCCGCTACAGACATTCACAGACATTGTTGACAAGAAACGTCACTATACCTTCGTCTTAAGCTATAGTTTTTTGCTATCCGACACAAAACAGAGCAGCGTGCACTGCAAACTGCACAGACGACTCGTGTCACCAAAAGCAGGCAACACCACAAGCCTGTTTCATCATTTAAAACAACACCACCCTTATGAAGATGCTAAGAAATTACAGAATTAAACTAGTGTTGGTAAACCAGCACAGCTACCCAGCAGAGTCACATGTCATCATTTTTGAAAGCAGTGCCTTATGAGAAATAAACCCCGAAAAGACAGACGAAAGATATGACAGACAACACAATCTCAAACACATCTCAATAAAGCTTGCTCTAGAGGCTACATTATTTTAGGATATTTGTTAAGACATTAATAGAATCTTTTGTTGTCAAGCTTATGATTCCTTTTTAATATTAAGATATTTGTTTTGAAATCTGTACCATTGTCCCTCACCGACGGTAAAACAAATTTTTAAAATTTTTAACTTTTAAATTTATAAATCAGATGCTTAAGATATAATCTTTAAAATAATGACATATTAAAAATGCAGCAAATATATGTAAATAAATAGCAAATATTATTTAGATCCTTATTTTCCACGGAGCAAGCATGCACCTGCCTATTGTTTAAGGCAGGCACAAACTTAAAAAAATACTAATAATAAATAAATAAACATATATATTTCCTTAAAAATTTATCTTTTTGCAATGAATTTCATTTAGTATAATGTGTAACTTAATTTTGATGTATATTTTGTAAACTATTTTCACGGTTTCATTTTAATTCATTAACTAAGCGCGGACTGAGCAGCATGAGCTGGACAGTCTTTTCGCAGCACTAATAGATTTATTGGGTTACCTCGGAAGAATAAACTCGGATGAGAGCTCAGAAGCTCGCTGTGTTAGTGGAGAGGCCTCCATTAACCCCGCATGTTTTCGTTGTGATGCGCGATTTGTAAAATGAGAGTCTGCATAGGCCTATTTGTGCTAGTCTGTCAGACAACTTTGGTTAAAACATCTGCAGATATAACAGAGATCTGCGCAAAACTGGCTTTATGCATCCCGCAATATGCGATGTCAAAAGGGTGACTGCATAAGATAAACTGCACACACTTGAGGATGTAATGCGTAGACGCGTCTCACAGCCCCGATCATAACTAAACCTTTACATGTCCATGCTTAATCAGTCATCGATAAGGTCTATTGATTAAAGTGTTATTGACAATCAATAGATCAAGTAATCGCTAGAATCCCTAAATAAAATATATTAAAAGATAATTCACCCTAAATTAACCATACTCGCCATTAAAAGGAGAGTTCATCCAAAACTGAAAATTCTGTGACCATTAACTTACCTTTTACTTGTTACAAACCATGTTTTTTTCTAATGTTGAACAATAATATCCAATAACTTGTAATGTCTTTGGTTGTTGAAAACTTGAACAGTAGTAAATGCTAAATTGAGATTGTTCTTTTGTTATTTTTTTATTATTTATACTGTCAGACAGCTAAAACATTTCACTTAAGTGTTAAATCAGCTGCACAAAGCGATTGGCAAAGTGAAAATCTTATAAAAAGGATAGATATAAAGATTTTACGTTTATGGTGATAAATATAGACATCGTCTGATACACCACACCTGAGGCCACACCCTCTGTGCCTTATTTAAACTAGCCTTTTTAGTTTTTGAGATATTCTGAACTAACATCAAATTTCAATTCCACAATCCCCTCACCATATCTGATCTAACTTTGCAGGATGAAGAAACTCTATCTTTCTTTATTAAGCAAAGCAAAAAAAGATCAATTTTGCAAAGGACATTCTATATACAGTTTTGATATGCCCTCCCCCGCACACCCATTCCAAACCTTCTTAGCATTCTTACACCACAGGAGAGCAATCCCACTTCCACCCACATGCATTTCTAGGTATTAATATGAGTCTACCTTTCCCCCATTCCCCCTCCTATTACCACAGGAGCTCCTTCACTACCTTTCCCCCCTTTTTTCTTCCTTTAACTTTTCTTGGCTTTTTTTAAGGCTTGAGGATCTTATGAGCTCAGAGCTCTCTCCCGGGACAGCAACAAACAAATTTATAATTAATCATCAGCTAAGTGTGAACTCTTGAAGTGAAGTTTATTTATAAACTAATTTCGAGAGGATCACATGGTTATGATTGCTAGCAGCTGGATTCTCAATGCATCAATCAGACGACTCCTAGGCTACTACAAATACCCTGGGTTCCGTACCACCGCTATCTATGTTTTGAAAAATTCCCCTATCCACCCCTACTCTTTCCTCTTCCTAGATGGGTGACACGGTGGCCCAGTGGTTAGCACTGTCTCACAGCAAGAATGTCTCTGGTTACCAGGCTTTACCAAACCAGCAGACGTTTCTGTGCGGAGTTTGTACTTTCTCTCCCTGCTCACATGGGTTTCCCGGTTTCCTTCCACCGTCCAAAAACATGCAACATAAGTTAATTGACTAATCCAAATCGGCACTATAGACATGCTCCTAGTAAGTAGTTATCTCTTAAGAGCAATCACTATCTGTTCATTAGTTACTACAGCAGAGTTCTCGAGATCTACCTAAGCTCAAACTCCCCTCTCATCTTGCAACGGGAGGGAGCCCCGGGCTCGAGGATCTTGTGAGCTCAGGCTCTCTCCCGGGACATGCCAAACAAGCTTATAATTAATCATCAGCTAAGTGTGAACTCTTGAAATACATAACATGCACAAAAACCTTACAAATGTACTTTGCACAATACAAATAAAACAGATTTTAATATAAATTTTAGCAAATATACACCCTTAATGTGTTTATGCCTTTATTAAGATTTTCATGGTAATGTTTACTTTTACAGTCTCGTATAGGGAAACTCTTGAGATTAGTTATAAAGTTAGATTTCTAAACTTTATTAATTAATCTACCAAATGCTTGCTTCCCACCTCCTCTATTTAGTCACGATGACTTCTGCAACTTATAGCGCGAGGTCGTTGCTCAAGTCTGCATAGATGCATAATCGATATCAAGAGCACATCCAGAAACTTTCACACATCCTCCGTTTTTGTGGTTTTGAGTTTTGTAACTGAACTTTGGCAGTAGATGATGTGAATTGGGTAAAGCTAAATTGTCGGTAGTGTATGTGTGTGAATGTGTGTGTATGAATGTTTCCCAGTAATGGGTTGCAGCTGGAAGGGCATTCGCTGCGTAAAACAAATGCTGGATGAGTTTCCGTTTCATTCTGCTATGGCAACCCCATATTAATAAAGAAAATGAATGAATGAATGAATGAATGAATGAGTAAATGGAAGTGATGTAGTCAGTCCTCAGAGTGATATGATATGCAGAGAACATGACACCAGGGGACAATAATCTATCAGGGACAGCGACTAGACTGTCTAAGAGCGGCTCATCCAGCACATGTGTCATCCTCCCATTAGATATAAAAGACCCCCCCCCCCACCACCACCACCCCTCCACTCAACACATTAACAGAGAAAACATTCCCTTTGTCTGAGAAGGTCTAGTGTATAAGCCCCTGATTAAGGCAGAGAAGGCGGCAAGTCTGTTTGAGTAAAAGTAGGTTAAAGGCCAAAGCTTGTGTAGTAGGTTTAAAACGCTATCAACAGTTTTATCAAAAAAATTAAAAAAGGATCAAACTCTGGATGTCAAAAAATGTGTAATGAGCTGTTTTACATGATGCAAATGCTCTCAAAATAAGAGATTTCCTTGTTCATGAGCTAGAGGCACACAAAAGTGCTGTCTAGTCACCTGGTTAGTTGAGGTTACAGCTCGAGCTAACTAAACTTCCGTGGCCTAAAAATGCAGTCAAATGTAGCTAAAAAAAAAGTATACTGCGTGCTTGCAATCTGATGTTACACATGACTTTGAAAGTACAGGCCCAAATCTGTCACAGACGCTTTATTAACACTAATTATACAAGAGGAACAAAACCGATGGAGCGTGAAGATTCAGATTGAGTGTCTGCACAGTTGGATGGCAGACAGGAAGGGATAGGATGTGGTTTCTAATGAAAAAAAAAAAGATAGGTCCACAACAGCTGCTAGATAACAACATATATGCCCAGTCACACTCAAGCACAGCCACTTACATGTGTGTCATTATCTTATGGAGGAAAACACCATCCACTAAATCCATGAACATGGAGAGCTTGTCTTCTGAACTGAACCCAAGAGGTCCAAAAGTTTTAACCTGTGAAAAAAAAAATAAAAGTAGTAATTTCATGACAGGATACACGAACAGCTGCACAGTAAATCAACCACGCTTTCGGTTTCAGAACTTAACTGCAACATGTATAAAGAGCAACGTGTATAACAGCTGCATGTACAAAATGAGAAAATGTTGAATGTATAAATTAATCTTTGTTTAAAGACCCAGGAAAATTAAAATATGCTGTTAATTTGCTAGCCAATAGGTTATTTAGGATGTAGGGGATTTCTATTTTCATAAGGAAAAGATTCAAGTAGACTTTTAGCTGAAACAGTTGCAATTCAACAACTACCAGCACTTAGAGATTCAAAACAACATCTTACATGCTAAACAAAATGAATACCCATGATTTCTGACAATACACGGAGTTTGCAAAGGCTGTGTGTGGATTAAAGTTAATAATGCTGTAAACAATGTTAGCAGAGACCAATCGTTTCACTTCCTAAGACCTCACTGAAAAAAAAGCTACATTGCATATGGGCTGACTTTAAAGAAAGAAAGTAAATTTAGTAATGTAAACTATTTGCAACCCCTTACCTAATTTTTTTGTGTAAATCGTTTTTTCAATGCTTTATGTATTTAGGCATGGGATGATAACCATTTTTAAGGTATACCACGGTTTGGAAAAGTTAAGGTTTGAAAACCAACATTTTCTGTAATACCGTTTCTAAGGTATGTTTAAAAAAATGTATTTATGTTTTTTTTAGGACAACAGTATCACCAGCACAAAAGATATTCAAATGTGCTGTTTTAAATTGTAAAGAAACTAATAAAGACAGCAGAAGTCAATTATTTACTTGAATTATTTAGCCTGACATGTTTACTGCACCGAAATATTTTAAATCTTTCACAAAATAAAATATATTGTTTTCAAAGGGGTAAAGAAGTTTTTATTTTTTACCCAGACATTTAAAAAGAATATATTTTTGAGCAGAAATTTTATCCAAGGTTATCACACCATCAGAATCTTATACCAGGCCATGCCTGGAGCCTAATGTATTTTTTTTATTTGTTGGTGTATTTATTAAATAATTTATTTATTTAACTCTCAAAAGTACTGGTAGCTGCTGACTTGCGTTAAATGAATCACCAAATTCTGTGATGTCAGCTAAAAAATATCCATCAATACTTCCCTGAAAAAGTTAATTAATAGCAAATGTTCATTTCTGGTTTAATTATCCCTCCAACTTATCCTAAAGAGCCATCTTTTCTTTACAATATGACTGTTTTGTTTTCATCTGTTATAGAATATCAGGCAACATCATATATGACAACATGGGGGTGTGGATGATTGTCTAACATGGGTTAAGATAGTGACGTATGAGAAGGAAAATGCAAGTGGCCAGAGAAACCACAGGCGAACAGGACACAGGGGTCAGGTTAAGGGGGTCATAGGAAGTTTTGCAGGTTTCACCCAAAACATATCAAAAGCCAATTAAACTCTGCATGTCGGATTGCAGATCGTGTACACCAAAAATAAACAATCTGTTGTTATGTTTAAAATATACTTATTTAAATTGTTTAACATTTAGAGCCATTGATCAATATAGTAAATAATATTTGCTACAACATTTACCAAAATATATACTTGTATTTTAAAAATAACTTTTAGCTGTATTAACTTTTTTAAGCATGCAAATAGACAATTCAGTATATTTATTAAAAATATGTATAATATACAAAAAACTAAGAAAAAACAGCATAACCTGGTTTAAAGTTATAGCTGAATTTTAATGTAATTACAAACAACGACAAAATAAAGAGAACGTTAGTGTCTTTGTTTTTTAAATTTGATTAAAATGAATAAATAAATAAATAAATAAATAAATACACAACGCAAATACAAACACTGTGCAGGTGCCATGTCTTTGTGACTTACCCAAACCACAAGCGGCGAATCCATGAAGTTACTCATCAGTTCAGACACTGTAATATCCATTTTGAGATGAATAACACACACTTAAAAGAGTTCAAACTGTTTGCAACTGAAAGTGCGTCCACATAAATAAATAAAAAACAAAGTGCGTCGGATTCTTCTAGGGGTTCATGTACTCCACAATTCTTTCCACCGTAGAACAATGCAGGAGACGCGAACCAACTCCATTCTGGTAATAAAAAAACATCCCCCGTGGTAATAGTTTAAACAACTTTTAAACTATTTGCAATTCCAAAAGTGAAACGTTGCAGATACATTAGGAATACCGTCTACGCTGACTTGTCCTATCAAACTTAAAGTTCTCTACGTTTACCCTCAATGCTTGCTAGAGTTACTTTACCACCACCGTGCATTCAACCTGTACCAGCATGAAGAGCACAGTCGAGTGACATGCTCGACAGCCAATCAGCTACCGCGTCTCCACCGGTGGGAGGCAGTAAACGACCAATATCTGACTCGTGTGTACTGGGTTTCATTCAAATGACGTAACCGACCGGGCAAAGTGTTGTCGCGACAACCAAAGAGACCTCCGCGGTGCAGCTCGATGGCACCCTCAGGAGGTAAAGCATGTTTTTTTTTTTAAATAACTCTGTTTATTAGGAATTTTAGTCATTTACCCTCATTTTTTGGAAATGTACGGGTTTCAATGCTACTTAAAGTAAACATTTACATTCCTCTATTGTAGACCATTTAAAGTTTTGCTGTAACATTCACTGCTTATTTTAGCAATTGATTAATTCAATAACTTATGGAAGTGTTCAACCAATCAAATTCTTTTAAGTTAATCAAGCGCGCGCGGGAATTCTCCACTCATTTTTTACCAGCATTATATTAAGTCTTCTTAAATGTCTTGAATAGAGTCTATTTGAATTTTTCCTGTGGTGCAATTTGTCACATGAGACATTAGTCATTGAGGTCTTGAAGTTCAATGGGTCTGGGTATTTTCCCACTTCTTACCATTACCAAAACTTACCCAAATCACTTGGTTAGAATAATATCCAGTCTCCCTGATCATTCTGTTTTCGTCTATCTCTTCCGAGTAATAAATAAGTCAATAAAACCAATCAAGCCAGAGTGGAATTATTCACTAATTATGTCTTATCATTATATATTTAAAAAGTAATTCTTACCACTTAAGCTGACAGAAGGCTATGCTCATGACACGTTCTGAGCAGCTGACCGATAGACACATTTTAATAAACAAGATATATTTTATTTTCACAAGTTATGTTTGAGTTGTGGGTGCATTTTTATGACCCTAGTAACCACTTACCAGACTCATTGCAAATCAAACTAAAACAGTAATTACTATAATTCTTCAAACACTCTATAATGGCAACAGAAATAAACAAGATAATTTTTTAAGCTGTTGAAATAAATGTAAACATTTAAAATAAATTAAAAGTATTGTTGCATTTTATTTAAAAACTAGAATTATGTCACTTTTTTCCAAATTGGCTAGCAAGATAGTCAGCGATCAGTGGTGGAACTGAAAAATCCTACTCAAGTAAAAGTACTATTACTTGGCCAAAAAGGGTAAGCGAGTAGAGTAAAAGTATTAGTTATCAATATTACTCAAATAATGAGTAAAAAGTAGCCCTTTTAAAAGTACTCAATAGTAGTGAGAAGTGAGAATTACGCTGGGAAAGGTTAATGGTTCTACAGGTAATTTGTGCATGAGTTTGTGTGTAAACGTAACATTCTGTAGTCTATTTAGTTATTGTTTAGGGCCATTTCAGTCATCAAACATTTATCATCTCCTCACCAGTGACACAGTCTTTGGGTCAATATGTTTAAAGTATCTTCTTGGACACTTTTAATGCTTCCAACGTTTGCTGCGGGTCTTAAGGTAGTTCCATATGATGCGATTTACTTTGTAAGTGTGATTTGATTGGACAGGAATTGCAGGACTGATTTTTTAATCCCCATAGGCAAGAAATAATAAAGTAGTGACTGCAGATTGAAGGAAAATACCACCAGAAAGCAGCTGAAAACCTTACTAACAAAATATATCCTAATTTTATTTGTATTTTTAGGTCTGTGAAGCTGCAGATAACAATGAAATTGTTAATGGCAAACATCAAATTAAATTTAGCAGGCTTGTCCATGACCTTAAATGAGGAAATAAAATTTAATACCTAACCATTTTGACAAGTTAGTTTTTTGTTTCAGGTCAAATCGACCAGCTGCGCAATATAAGAGTTAAGCAGACAAGGATCAAAGGTTACTGCAAACAGAGTTTATTGATTTCCATACTCCCAAAATGAGTCATACCTTGCTTTCAAATTATTATGTGATTCTGCATTGAACATACAGAATTAAAAGTATAATAGAGGATATAAGCTTATGTAGTTCATTGAATGCAGTATGAGAAGGTCCAGGATGTAGTGAATGTACAAGCAACCAAAATGGTACCTTAATAAAGTACCAGACTGACTTTTATAACATGTAAACATATTCCAACCTAATGAGCCTGTGTTGACATCCAAATACCCAACAGTGAGATGAAATTTAACTACTGTTAAAATGTTTCTTCTTTTAAAAAATGACTTGTTTTAGCTTGCAGTGACTGGCATAAATAATCCATATATATGTAAACGAAAGGAAAAGAACAGATAAAATATAATTTCCAAATGCATAAATACATTCATTCATTTTCTTTTCAGCTTAGTCCCTTTATTAATCCAGGGTCGCCACAATGGAATGAACCGCCTACTTATGCATGTTCTATGCAGCGGATGCCCTTCCAGCCACAACCCATCTCTGGGAAACATCCATACACACTCATACACTACTAACAATTTAGCCTATCCAATTCACCTGTACAGCATGTAATTGGACTGTGGGGGAAACCGGAGCAAACCCACGCGAACACAGGGAGAACATGCAAACTCCACACAGAAACGTCGACTGACCCAGCCGAGGCTCGAACCAGCAACTTTCTTGCTATGAGGCGATAGCACTACCTACTGCGCCACTACGTCGCCAATTCATAGATAATGTTTTAATTAGTATGATATGGGCCTATAGTATATAAAAGTATGCAAGATTTTTTTATGATTGTTGTCATTATTGTTGATTACCGGTACAATTACTTCTAAATTCATACTTGTACTGTATAATTCTCCTGTGTGAGTGAGTGATTTATGTTTCATCATCCAAAATTTGCACATCTCTTTTAAATTTACATTATTGTTATGGTGATATAAATAGTATGTTTAGTGCTTATTATGGTTTTGCTGTCCTAGTATTCGAGTATTTAGAAAGGGATTTAGGCCTGGGACAGCAATCCTGGGCAACCTGAGTTATTAGAGGGCAGAACTCCTTATTAAAATATAGCACCATTTTAAAATAAATCATATTCATGCTTTGTAAAAGTCAACATATCTGAGATTTTGGAACAAGACAGTCTGCCTTTCTACTCTTTAGCTTTTCTTTAGTACCATAATACATCATAGCAATAATATTTTAATATTTGAATATATATAAAATAATGTTTTTAAAGTCTAAGTGAAATCAAAATTTACAATGTTCATATTGCTAGCTCACATTGTTATTCTTAAAATGAATAATTAATCCATGCAAGTTCATCCAATGAAAAAAAATATGTTTATCCAATGTTTTGATAATTTTCAATCACATGTCAGACCATTTGCTTCCGAGTTTGGAGTGGTGATCCTTCTGATGACATCAACCCGAGGGCTTCCATAGCAGCTGTATATCAATATCCTTAACCACGTCTCTATTATGATAGTTATGCAATGAGAGAAAGATGCAAAAGAAAGCCCCGCCCCCTACTCAGCATTTAGTTTTAGTTGGAAATACATCAACATACTGAGATACAATTCTCAGCAACTTCCGGTTCATGCGGACTTTGAAATAATAATATTTATATGTTAATTGGAATAGTGGAAAATATCTTTCACAACACTCTAAAAGCACAATCTAAAAGCATTCTAAACACTGTGCTGATTGCATGTCAGCGCAATAGTATACAGTGTTAAACACCTATCCACCACACCTATCCATCAGTGAGCAGAGCGGCATTTACGCAAGAAACACATCTCCAATGTCAAACTCTATGAAAATTCTACAAGTTCCAATGCAAAGAGCACAGTATTACTTTTGCAACCATTTTAAAGAAATAAGGCAGATTATGAAAACTATTAATATTATTAATAGTTAAAATAAATACTGAAGCATGTCTAGAAGATCAGTACATTAAAAATTCAAGACAAAAAGAAACCCTTTTTTTTTTACAAATATTTGGTTAAATCGATCAGGTTCCTGTGCTTTTATTTGTATACAGAGTGAATGTGTTATGTGACTCTGGTATAAGAAAAATACAACAAAAAACATAAAGAGTAAAACATGTGGACATTAGCAACACTTCATTAGCTTAGATACAGGCAGCAGTGTAATCTACATTTCATATAGCTAAATTCTTACAAATTAATATGATGGAAAAAAAAAAAAAAGGTGTTATAAATTTGTTCTATTTCACCTGTGTCACATTCTGTCCAGGTGTTTATTTCTTCTTAGCAAACAGACTAAACCTCTTTTCCTTGTCCTTCTTCGTTGAGGGAACCTCTAGAGTCGTGGAGGAAGGTGGAGGTAGGCTTAGTGCCTTCACTCCTGATGGCCCTGCAACTGGTTCTTCTATTTGAACTTGTGCAGCCTGCTCAATAGCCTGAGTCCAGTTCTGAAGCTCCTCCTGTGGTCAAAACATAAAAGGCCATTATTAAAGTTCTTTACTGGCTTAAGATTACGTTAACTAACTAAGAAGAAGCAGTCAATAGCTAACCTCGTCTTTACACTGGAACAGATATTCACTTCCATCTCCAAGTCTAAAAAACAAGGGAATGGAACAGGGATAAAACTGGTAAGCTAGGCAACAAGCAATCTTGTAATGCTTATCATAACAATAAAATACATTTTTGTTTTAAACTTAATATTTACGTTTGATAACCAAGAGCCTTACCGGAGTTTGAACACCTGCTTCTTTTTCTTATAGTTGGTCAAGATCTCGCATGAAGAATTGGTGAGGGTCAGGGGTTCCTCACCATGGAAGGTTACACTGTGACTAAAGCTCTTGGCATCCTTGTAGATAGAGAGGTGTCCAGGTTTAAGCACACAATACAGATTGTTCCAGGACCTGAGTAAAGACATTTTGTTGTCAGTCTTTTAATGCTTATTTCAGCAAACATCAATAATTTGATCATTATTATTTGCTGGCCAACAAAAACAACAACTAACCTGTTGGGTGCCTTCTTGTTAGGTCCCTCCAACTCATGCTTGCGGGCTAGAGTTCCCTCCATCAGGACTGGTTGAACTTGTGTAGATTCTGTAGGAAGCGAGGCAGCTTTTTCTGTCTCTTTGGTAAC